TCTTGCGGGGAAACGGGTTGACCGTATGGGAAGCAAGATTCATCGAACACGACGTGGCGGGACGTAATGATTTTGTGGGTGTCAAGGTCAAGGCAACGGAACCCGCGTTGGTTAGAGGGATAGCCGAGAAAGATGCAGCGGGCGGAGCGTGGAGCTAGTTTGTGAGGGGAGGTGACGGAAATATTGGGGTAACATAAGCAACCGAAAACGCGAAGGTGGTCGTAGGACGATGGGGAGTTGAAGAGGGTGGCGTGGGGGGTTTTGTTCTGTAAGGTGGTGGTGGGAAGAATGTTAAAGATATGGGTTGTCATGTAGAGGGCCTCGACCCAGAAGGTGGGGGGAGCTGGGCTTGAAAGAGTAGGGAACGAACCGAGTTGTTAATGGTACGAATGGTGCGCTCTGCTCGGCCGTTCTGTTGACTGGTGTGAGGACACGAGAAACGAAAGAGGATGCCTAAAGAGTCAAAAATATTTTTGAGTGGGGAATTACGGTATTCGGTTCCATTGTCACATTGAACTACTTTTATTGTTGTGTTAAATTGATTTTTGACATATGCTACAAATGAAGTTAAATGATTAAAAACATCACTTTTATGTTTTAAAGGAAAAACCCAAAGATAATGAGAAAAATCATCCAACAACAACATATAAAATTTAAAACCAGTAATACTTGGAACAGGGGACTGCCACAAATCTTTATGTAATAGTTGAAACGGAAACATTGAAACACGACTAGAAGAAGAAAAAGGGAGGCGCACATGCTTTCCCAATTGACATGCATGACATAAGGAATGTTGATAACTTTTAAAAAAGGAAGAGATGAAATATTGCTGAGGACAGTTTGACTAGGATGGCCTAGGCGCCGGTGCCAGGTCTGAAGATCGACAGCGGCGACGTTGGCTTGAGCGGCGACTGAGCGTCCTAGGGGGTAGAGGGGTCCCAGATCATTGGAGCGATGTATCACGGTGCCCGTCTGACGATCCTTCACAGAAAAACCATTAGCATCAAATTCAACAGAACAGTTATTATCGCGAGTGAGTTGACGAACAGAAATGAGGTTGTGGGTGATGTGAGGAGAAATAAGAATATTTTTAAGGGATAGGGAAGGGGTGGTGGGGAGGGTATGGCTACCAACAGCCGTAGTGCTAACCTTAGATCCATTACCAACAGTGATATATAATGGTGAATGTAAAGATTGAGAATTAACATGAGAAATAGTACCTGGGTCAGAGGCAATATGATGGGATGCACCGGTGTCCATATACCAAGAGG